CTCTGTGAGTTTCATGGAAATGTTGTTTACTGCTAATCGTTAACGAAGGGTCCACGCCAGATCAGAATGCGCTCCGAAGGTACCCCCGCCTCCTTATCCACACCCCGCCCCCCCAGTTGCCTTTCTCAATCTCCTTTGTTGGGCTGCTTCTTCGGAAGCTGTGGAACCTGCCGACAATACCTGTATCGGTACCGACTTGAATGAACTGTTAGGAGGAAGATTTCGTGAGTTTCTATAGTAAACGATGGGCTGGAACTACCGTACACAGCGGCATCTTTATCCGCCTCGCTGTGAATGTTATAATGCTATCAAAATTAATCACACCGGCCTGCGAATTATCCTCTTATCTGTTCACATGTATTAAAACCTACATCGACTTTATCCTGGGACTAGGGAGCTGAGTTAACTGAACGATATGGTAATGGGCTGAAGCCTTGTCACCTCATCTGGACACTCGTAGCGCATCTGGCTCTTCCTGCTGGCATTCTGGGCCCCTCAGCTTCCTGTGCCTGAAAGTATGTTACATGGCTGAGTGTTCTTGACCGCGACCCTCAGTGCCATTGGCAAAGTAGGTGTTTAAAAAGCTTGGCCAACAGGCTTGGTGTCTCGTGGCCTTCGGACATCTCTTCAAGTCTGTGCTAGCCACTTCTCCAGGAGCGGAGAGAGCTTCAGAGTGTCAGCTGAGCCTGACCAGTTGCTGTCCAGTCCTGTCCCCAAACCCAGTAGATGGGAGGCCACTAACTCCAGACGTTTTACCTCAGATGGTCCCGCTCAGAGAGACCTGTTCCTTAGAAACCCCATAGCATCAGTAAGAGACTTTGATCTCATCACCTCCCCTTTGCCCTTTGCCCTTTGCCTCCCCCTGCATCCCACTGGCCACTCTCCCTCCTTGCTCTCCGCTCGCCAGGAGACCAGTAACCCGACAAAGGCACATAGTTGTTGGTGATTCCAAGCATTTCCCCTCCAGTACCACTCGCATTTAAAAAGGAGATCTGCGAGGGAGATGCTCACACCCAGGGCCCTTCCTGGGTCCCCGGCATTCACTTATCTTAGGTCACAACTGTGAGCGCAGTCTCCTGAGGGCAGAATCCCCCGGTCTCTTTCCCAGTGAGGCCCGAGGAGGAGGCATCATGAGCCAGCTGTATTTCCCTCCGGCACCCACCCCCATTCTCTATTCTTCCATGAAGAAGCCAACACTTTTCCTTCCCACCTACTGGGTCTGGGTCCCATGAATCAGGGAGGAGACAGTCCTTCCTTCAACGGCAACGCGGGTCATGTTGCTCTGGGGACTTGCCGCCATGGGCTCTACCCCCCAGGCCTAGGAGAACCTTCGGGGTGTCCCAAGGGCTCTTTGTTGGCCCGTATCTCTTGTCAGGGCTCAAGGACATCAAGGGCAGGTTAGTGTGGCCCATGAAACCAGCCCAGTGATACCACTGGTCGAGGTGACCTACTGAGAAGGAGCTGGCGTCAAACATTGGCTAAGGAGGCCTAGGATTTCATACGTCATGGGTTTGCTTAGCTCAGATGCTTGCCTTTTGGAAAGCCCTTTTATAAAGAGATATAGTCAGCATTTGCTGTAGTGCTTTGGGCCAGGGACGTTTAAGTCTCGCCAGTGGACCCGGCCATGTGGTTGGCCTTCATGACAGCTTGCCGACTACTTTGTCGGCCTCAGACAACCTCAGGAAGTTGGCAGAGCAGCTACATTTGGGTTCATTTTAGAGGTGACCTTCAGAGAAGCTAAATGACTTTCTCGAGAGCGCTCAAAGATGGGACTTTGGAGACCAAAGCTACTGAGAGTTCGGGGCCTCTACCCTCATTAGGTCATAGGTTCAAGATGGTGACGTGGGCAGCCAGCATGCACGGGCATTTTCATGCGGGGGCAGCTTCCTTTACGGTGCTACGTAGGGGAAGCTACAGCCTAGTGGGATCCACACGGGGAAACCCCGTCACTGCATTTGTCACACACGGTCACAGCTCTGCAGTTGAAAATACGAATTGACAAAAGGGCACAGCTTGATCAGATAGACTAGGTACATTAAGACAAACAAAATCGCCACTTTCGTAGGCCAGAAATGGTACAAGGTAACAATTTCACATGTTGCGACCTGATTTCTCCTCCCTGCCTTTTATTAGTGCATCTTGGTTGGTTCATTGGTCAGGACTCATTACGCTTCCACTGCAGATGACATGCACTGTTCTAATTATCAGGCCTAGGGATGTCAAAAGATAAGGGACAGGTTCACTGTCGTCAGGGAATTGCAATTTATTCATCGGGAGAGAAGATGGGACAGAACATATGAGAACCGTTGCAAAGTAATGACATCAACAGATGCAAAGTAAAAGTATTAGGCCATGCGACAGGCTGGAATGAGCACGGAGCTCGGAGTCAGACATCCTGGTTTTAAACTTGCGGGTTATGTGATCTGACCTAGGACCCTAGTAGCTCTTTTTGGTAAGATGCTACATATAAATGTGCATATCTATTGGCATGTTAACCCATAACAGTCATTCGGTCGGCGTTAATTCCTTTCTCTTGCTCTATAAATCTTCCCGTAAGGAAGCGCTAAGCGACTCCTCTTCCGGGCCCATCGTACATCCTCGCGTGGATGTAGCTCTCTGTAAGTAAAGAAAATTTCTTTTTTGGTGTCCGAACTCTACGACAAACCCCGCGGTAGGGCAGATAGATGTTGGTACAGGCTGCGCAGCAACAGATGTGAACGGTGCCCTCTGAAGTTTGTCACTGTACAACCTGCACAAACACATGGGCTGCCTCTGAACCACGTCAGCGTCCGCGTATCCTATGTTTGGAGATGAAGCGATTTGAAAGGGTCCACACCCGTACGGTGCCGAGCCAGGACCGTCTTCAGGTCTGCGGTGTCCGGTCCCTGGACCCCGACACCTGATCGCCTGTGCTCTGAGCGGCTCATTCGCACCGAGAAATAGCAGGCACCGTGCGCCGATATTTCAGTTTTCTGGAAGTTCCCCGAGGCCGGGGTCTGAGGCCAGGCGCTAAATTAACATTAGTCGATTCACTAACATAAACGTGGAGGACGAATCGGTGCAGGGAGATGCAGAGGGGGATAGATGAGGGCGAGGTGTTTTCACAAGGCCACGACGGAGCTTTCCTTTGAGAACTAAGTCGGGCCGGTGCGCCTGGGATCGGGGAAGCGCCACGGGAAAGGAAGACTTTGTCTCGGTTCATGTTTTCCCACAGTTCAGTCGGGTTCCCTGGCACGTCTGAAATCCCTCCATATTTAGTGTTTTTTTTTCCTTAAATCTTCTCGCTTTCTCCACTAGAAAAGATGCTGCTTTACTGTAGCCTCATCTTGATAGTGTCAGGATGTTCTGTATCGTATGCAAGAAACGAGGCCACGAGGTGACTCCGCACTCGGCCTCCGTCCTGGTCCTGCCGACGGGTGGGAGGAGAGATATCAGGGCTCAGCCGTGAGAGGAGGATGCGGTTTCTTGGGTTAGGAAGGAAAGGGGCCTGGGAGTCCATCGGCATTTTCCGGGTCAGGCGTTTGGCCATGGAACGGAGAAGGCAACACGGTCCGCTTGGAAAGTGTTGACCATTTAGCAGAGGGGACGAGATGTCAACCAGGCTGGTGAACGAGGGCTGCTGGAGGTGGCGGCGCCCATGTATAAGCACGGATTCGCTGGGCCAGAGAAAGGTAGACTAAGAGAGCATTCAGAGATCATGCCACCAGCCCCTCATGACATGGGAATGGAGACCAAGGAGACAAGGGGAGACGGTGTGACCACGGTCACCCGATGGCGCGCATAACGACGGGCCTCGGATACCCAGGTTGTCCATAACTGGGGTCCACCGCTACGTGCTAAGTTTTTATTTAGTGTATTTCTGTTGAGGGGACAGTCGAAAATGCGTTGGTACCCAGTTCAGAATGTGAATAGAGAATCATGACAGCCGAGCAGGGCGATTTAAAGGCCGTCACGGATACTCTGAGCAGGTCTCAAGCATTAGCGAGTCCTCTTTGGATCAAGGAGCGGACGGCTTAGGTTGGAATCGAGCAATCCTGAGGAAGGAACGAGATAGTTGGGGGGACTGTGAACAGTGACTCAGTATTGGCTGATATTACGAGATCATTGTTAAATGTTAAAAGGAAGACATTTTGTGGTTTTGTTTAAAAGATACAAATTGACGTATTTATGGATAAAATGACTCCATGTCTACACTTCGCTTTCAAATAACCCGGTGGCAAAATAAAAATAAAATAAAATAACCCAGTGGCAAGGGGAGTGTTTGTGGAATCGAGTGATGGTGTATGTGAAGCAAGTGTGGCCTCGATTTGACCATGGCTGGAGCTAGGTGATGGGTACATGAGACAACGTACCCAGCTAATAATTATTAGACTATTTTTTATACATGTTTGAAAATTTTCCATAATAAAAAGTTAACGAAAAGTTGTCTCGGCCCCCAAGTGCTGCAAGTCCTTTGATAAATCCGTGGCCCGAACTGGGACTTAGTGAGCGAACCGATGCTAGTTATTTAACTTCTCTGAGCTTCAGCTTCTCCATCTGCAAAATGCGAATAATAACAGCAGCTTAGGAAGTCCGCGCTGTGAGGATTAAATGAATCGGGTGGGTAGAATGCTCAGCTCAGGGCCCAGCACAAAATTAAGGCTCGATATGTGTCTCCTTCTTCCCGTTCCTTCTCAAGAGTGGGAGGCGCACTGTTGACTCAAAGCGCGTTTTCCGTGGTAATGTCATCTAGAGCAGGACGCTGCCGAGGTGGAGCCCTGTGTCACTTCTCGTCTGAGGACGGAGAGGACCTCTCTAGCGTCAGTCCTTGTTAACCTTGGCTGACCTGCCCGGAAATCTGAATCAGGGGACCTTAAATTTACAAGGACGTGGTGTGGGCGTGTTGATCACAGGTTCGGCCACAAAGGCCGGTGTGCTTTCTCGGGGGAGGAGTACGGAAGCCATGGAGGCTGGACTTATTTCAAGCAAATAAGGTTCTGATTACAGAATGCCCTTACACCCTCGCTACCCAGAAGATTAAGCTCATCCTTACAGAGTCAATGACATGTGTTAATTGCAAAGTTAATGGCATAGAACTGTGTCTTCTATGTATCTAGCTCCTCAGGGCTCAAGGAATTGTAACCAACTTTATTCCCTGTGCAAATCATATATCTCTACATACACCTATTTTTGTAGACACGTAGAGATACATAACTATATACATGTATGCATATACATATATGCACACGTAAACTACAGATGGTAGCTAACTGACTTGTTTTCTATCTTCCGTGTAAAATTATGAAAATAACCTAACGAATAAGGAACCGCTATTTGGAAAGTATTGTGATGTACGTGGATGAAATGCTTTCGGCACACTTAGAGGGAGCTACCATGATCTTATTTTTATTTAAATTTACTGCTACAGTTCCTGCCTTTCCCCCAGGATGCACCCTACTCACTGCTTTTTGAATACATCTCAGAATTCTCCCATTAGCGAAGCCTGCTCTTCTCGATGACAATACCTTACACCTCTGTAGCACTTGGCAGTTTAAAAAAACACTTTCGCATTTATTATCTCAGTCGATTTTCACGACAGTGCTGTGACCTAAGCCAGGTGCACGTCATTCCATTCGACAGGCCCATTTCAATGACACTTGGTGTTGGAGGGGGCCTTTAAGATCATAGTTCGACCCCCTCTTTGTTACCAGTGAACAAATCTGGGTCTCAGAGAGGGTGACAGAACCAGGATGAGAATCTTTGTGACCCCAGACCTGACGTCTCAGCCTTTCACCCTGGCGTAACCCCCACTTGGGAGAACTGCATAGTCTACCTGGCTTAGAGCCGTCGCGACTACCTGCAGCCAGAATCACCTGGGGGAGCTGGTTAGAAATGCAGATTGCTGGACCGAGGCCCGGAGAGTCTTGCAAGGAGGCGGCTCCGAAACCTGCACTTAGAACTCACTCCGATGATTCCTCTGTGCTGCGAAGTGTGAGAGCTACTGGCTTTCTGGGTTGAAGCTTTGAGGATCCATCCCTCTTGTAGGTGGTGGTGTTGCGGCGCATGGCACCCATCGTGAATTCCCGTTTATGAATTTCTCAGTATCCTTTGCTGTCTTCGTTACCTGTTGTTCAGTGGTATGTCTGTGACGGTGCCCTTCCTTCCCAAAGCTGTCAGCGGGACTCTGCTTCGAGTCTAGCACTCTTTAGGTAGATGGGTCAGGGGCTGATGGCAGGACAGACTCAGGTGACTAAGAGCGGAGAGCGAGCCAGAATGAGGCAAGGGAGAAGGCGAGGCTGACCAACAGCACTGCCGATTTGGACACAGCGATTCGGGTGGCCACAGGGTGATTCATGCCGCCCCTCTGCCCGGCCGACTGTGGGTTCACATCTGCAGCCGTGGCAGCCAGACAGCAGCGTCTGTGCCTCCTCCCTGGTGACAGAAGTGTGCCAGCGCCCACGCTTGGTGCTTTTGTACATTTCCTCTTTTAGTCCTAAAAATATCTCGATGACCCAAGGCAGTAGATGGCATATTCCCCATGGGAAAATGTGAAAACGAAAGCTCAAGTAATTTACCTGTCTTCTTGTAACTGGTAACCGTGGGGCCAAAGTCAGTGCCTTTAACCGCTACGATAGTCTATTGTCATTGTTGATGGAGTCCACATTTGGGAATTTGCCTAACGTTTTTTCACTAAAACCGGTTTGTAACACCCCAGCCGACAGCCATGGTGCTTCGGAGGCCATCCCCAGACGTGCATGGAGCCGTCAGCGTTTGCGTTGGCTGGTCCACGCGTTTCCCTGGAGGAGCCCTGCTGTTTCAGCCCTCACGCTGTGAAATAGTGTCCTTGTCACGGTTTAGTTAGTACCACGTTTTTCACGTTTCCGTGCGTTTTGTTGGTGATGTCAGTGTCCTAAATGGCCCTGAAGCGCTGTATAGTCCCAAGCACTAGGAGGCTGGGGTGTCCCAGGGAGAACAGGTGTGTTAGGCGCGCACTGTCAGGCGTGGGTTATAGCGCTGCTGGTGGAATGTTTGATGTCAATGAATCAACGATACACACTCATCAGGTGTCTTTCAGCAGAAACGCACCCCAAAAGGCTATGTGTGGACTGGACACGCACCGGAGGCCGGCAGGAGCCCGACCTCGTGTTCCCCCCGCAGCGCTGGTGCTGTGTCTGCCATTCCGTTGCCCGCAGTTTCGTAGGACAGACGTGCAGGGGACGGTGGGGAGCGACCGTGTTGTCCCGGGAGGGCGCCAACAGGCCAAGCGCAGAGGTGCCCGGCGTGGCCAGGCCAGCCC